GAGTCTGATCTACCGGTACACCTCATTCCATGCCACAGCGGAGCAAAGCCACGGAGAACACGGGCGGCGGGACCGCCCAGACCAGGGAGACGCGGAGCAAAGCCGCGGAGGATGCGGGCGGCGGGACCGTGGCGCATCTGGGTGGTCCTGTCGCCCGCGTCCTCCAGGGCGAGAAAAGCCCCGTTCGTAAGTGCGGATCCAACATAAGTCGGATCCGCGTAACCCGGGGACTGCCTGTATCAGTTTCTAAATAAACCAGTCATATGTTCTGTTTCTGTTCCAGTCTAGGTATTCACAGAAAGTGTTTTTGTTTCTTTGCTTTCCTTGCAGAACTATACTCACTTGCCGAAAGCCGATATTTTTGCTCTTGCTCTAACTGTTGTGTGTGCTGCTGGTGCTGAGCCACTTCCGACTAATGGGGACCAATGGCATGAAATTCGACAAGGAAAACTGCCTAGAATACCACAAGTACTTTCTCAAGAATTCTTGGAGTTACTAAAAGTAAGAATTGTTGTATGCAAATGGCTCCTTGCTTACTCTGATGCTATAAGTCAGGAGTGGGGATCTGGCCTGCGAAGACTTCTCTTCTCCCCCTATCCCCACCTTCCCGGGAGTGCAAGGCTGCCACACTCCTGCTTGGCTTCCCACTGCGGAGGAGGGTCCCCTCACAGGATTTAGCCTGTGGGCTAAACCTGGTAGGAAGCCCTGTGTGGCAAAGCCCTCCTTGCAGGCACTGCCCTTGTCATTTCCACTGGCACTGCTTCTGCACCTCCCTCCTTTTCAGACCTCACATTCCCAGCCCACTCCTGAATCCTACATCCTGCCTAGACCCCACAAGTCACTTCCAACTCACTACTGCACCCTAAGTCCCACCTAAAACTCTTATTCTCAGCCCATTCCTGCACCCTATCTTGTTCCCAACCTGCTCCTGTGCACTGAACCTCTCATTTTTGGCCCCAGCGCAGCAGGGGGCACTTATCAAAATCTTCTAGCCCTAGTCTCCCTAGACTCTGGCATAGAGCTTGAAGGTAGTAAAGTAATTTTTTTTTTCTTTTTTCCTACTTCTCTTTTGGGGGCCGCATCTGTGAGAGTTTGTCTTCCCCCTTATTGCTTGGGACCAGATCAGTGAGGTTCTCCTTCCCTCTTCTTGTGTGTGGCTCTAGGGATGTAGTCGATTAGTCGCTCCCCACCCTTGCTGCCTCTATCAAAGGCCAGTTCCTCCCAGCACTGTTTCCATGGGAGTCAGGGGAGTAGCAGGGGCTGGGTGTGAGCTAGGATTAAGCTGATTCCCAGCTCGTGCCCATTCCCAGATGCTGTGCCTCTGCTTTTTGAATCCATTAAGAGTCTCTTGGTGCTTAATATGTTTAAAAATCAGAAGTGGGGGGCCAGAGAAGGAACTGATACAAGCCAGGCATTATTGTTCCGGCTCATGCCAGCTCCCCCCGCTGCACTTGAGCTGTTTAAATGTATTAAGATCGTACCAGCTCTTAATACGTTTAAAAGGCAGAGCCACAGCACGGTTAGTTCCCGGGGCTGGGAGCTAATCCCCTCTTCCCCCATGGCTCCCCTGCTTATCCACTAGTCGCTAAGTTGATTAAACTAAATTTAACATCCCTGTGTGGCTCATAACTTTTTTTTTCTGTGGGTTACTGGCACTGGAACCAAAAAAGGTTGCCCACCCCTGCTATAAACAGTGACTATTTTTAAACCTGAATCTTTTTCTTCAAGGTTATGATTAGTCCAGATCCAGAGAGAAGACCTACAGCAGTGGCTCTGAGCAAGCATTCAGTGTTGCTGTCAGCTGCCAAAAAGAGTGCGGAACAACTTCGTATAGAACTGAATGCTGAGAAGTTCAAAAATTCACTCTTGCAAAAGTGAGTGCAAAAGTTCTTTTGGTTATTAGATATTACTCCATTTGTAACTTAAAATAAGGGTACAATTTAATTTTTAGACTAATAAAGATAGGATATAAGAGCACTGTAACTGTACTTGCACTAAACACAAAAGGGCCAAATCATAGAAATCTAAGAACAATAGAACTGTTTGTATAATATCTTAAAAAAAAAATCCCTAATTGTTCTTGAAACATTTTCTTTGCAATATTCTAATATTGAGAATCAAATAAGACACTGCATTGTTTTTCACAGATGTAAATGTAAAAAACATAAATGGTGAATAACACATTGGACAATTTTTCAATTGCAATAATCAAGGGTTTTTGTAAAACCATGTAACTTAGAAACTCATGTTCCATTGAGGAAGAGTATTAACTTCCTTAATCCCTTTGAATTACCTGTTGAGCCTCTCAGGCAGAAAGGCTACGTCTAGACTGGCATGATTTTCCGCAAATGCTTTTAACGGAAAAGTTTTCCGTTAAAGCATTTGCAGAAAAGCACTTTTTGCGGAAAAGTGTCCATGCCAATCTAGACGCAGTTTTGCGCAAGAAAGCCCTGATCGTCATTTTCACCATCGGGGCTTTTTTGCACAAAACAGTTTTTAGCTGTCTACACTGGCCCTCTTGCGCAAAAACATTTCCGGAAAAGGGCTTTTGCCCGAACGGGAATGTCAAAGCATTTGCGCAAGAAGCACTGATTTTGGACAGTAGAACGTCAGTGCTTTTGCGCAAAATCAAGCGGCCAGTGTAGACAGCAGGCAAGTTTTTGCGCAAAAGCAAATGCTTTTGCGGAAAAACTTGCCAGTCTACATGCAGCCAAGATGAAATAATTGTGGTAGCCATTAGCATTTCAACCTCTTATTTCTTTAATTGTATGTAACGTTGTGTCTAATAGTTAGAAATCTTAAAGTACGGGATGTAGCTAAGTTTCTGTGCATCATTTGTAATTAATATAGTTGCCTTTAGACTATTTTTTTCATGCCTTCCACCATTCCGTCTTGCAGTTTTTCCTTTAGCCTTTGCTATAGCTAGTACAGATAGAGGCAGACTTTGCTGTTTTGGTTACACTCTAGGGATGTGGAAGTGTAAACAGCAATCGATGAGCCTCGCCTCATTAGTTGATGTTCATGGTCAGGGCTCGACAAATCATGTAATCTACTCACTCGTGGCAAGTAGATTACAAGCCAGCACAGCTAGCGCCACGTGATCTGCACATGTGCAGCTCGCAGAACCGCATAGAACTGCTTGGCGAGCACTGTTCATGGTTACGTGCAGGCTCCTGGTATTCCTGGTGAGCCGGCTTAAAAACCAGGTTCTGGCACGCACCAGCTACTAGGAGCTGTCTGTCACTGATACAGCTGGTACACTGTGGGGAGCCAAGTGCGGCCCTACATGTAACTGCTGTGACTCTTGGCAACAGGAGGGGTGACAGGAGGGGTGACTGATGCTTGAGCCTGCCCCAGGCCACATACCCAAATCCTCTGTCCCCTTCCTGCACCCATATCCCCATCTGCCCTAGTTCACAACCTAAATTGCCATACCCCAATTCCTTGCCTTATGTCACAATCCAACCCCCTGCACCCTAGTCCAGTGCCCCAGGTCACAACTGCCTCCTTCACCCTGCCTCCATCCCAAACCCTGGACCGCCTCCATTAATATCATGGAAGAGTATGGCCCTCGACTACTTTCCAAATTCTTGGAGTGAACCCCTCTCTCCCCCCCATCAAAAATTATTGCCCACCCCAGACTAGTTTGACTACTTGTCCTACGCAACATGACAATTTCTTCTTTCTCATCAGTCTTGCAGCTAACTCCAGAGTATGGAGTCTATATTGGTATATAGAAGGAAAAGGACTTGAATGGCATTCTTGGGCTGACTGTTAGACACGGATGCCATTCTTTTTTTTGGGGGGGGGGGGCAGTTTAGTGAAAATGTTTTGTGGTCTGCATGTTTCTGCAGCAGGTTCAAAGGTAGTTTAACAAGAGTAGCCAGTCTTGAGGATGAAGTCTCTATAGTTAGCACTCTAAAAGTTATTTATTTGTGGACATATTACGGTTAGCTATACTAGCAATTTAACTAACTACCAATGTGTAATTTAACTGGATTGGGGATTGTAAGTGACTAGTCAACTATCTGATGAGCAAAAGCTTATTGGATAGTCAACTAGTCCCTTGACTGGTTGCTTCCCTCAAGGGAGGAGAGGAGGAGTCAG